AAGGATACGTCCCTCTAGGCAATTGACTCAAGAGGGCCTTGTTCCTTTAGTCGAGACTCAAGGTCTAGTCAAGGATTCTCCGCATTGTGAATGAAAGTGAAACACGTTAGAGATCATCAATCGTTAATCTGGCTAGTGGCTAGGGGGAATCATACCTAAGTGAGTTCCCAACCTGTAATTAGATTAACTTTAACTGTAGTTTGCTAGAGTAGTTTTTAGTTCTTTCATCTTAATCTGTTTTGCTAGATAACGAACTGAAGCTGAGTAATAGTAACTCTAGAGACCCGTGGATTCGATATTTATTACTTGAGCCACTATATTGCAGTCCCTTTCATTGGTTACACTTGGCCATTGTTAGGAGTTGTGTTTTAGCGAGTCAAGTTTTTGGCGCCGTTGCCGGGGAATTTCTAGATTATTAGGAAAGGCAGAAGTTTGTTACTTTAGCGTTTTTCTTTTGTTTTCCACCCTTGCTTTTCACTTGGGTGTTTTTGTTTTTGTTGGTGCAGATCTGAATCATGGATCCTCATGGCTTCTCCAACCATTGGGGGTATCCACCACCATCCGAGTGGTATTACCCCGAGACACCCTGGAGCAATCAAGGAGGAGAAGACTATGGATCCGGGTTCCAGTACCAACCCCCTTTCTATGGAGAACAATCTGACCCCTGGGCATATCAAGAACAATCTCATTACCAAGAAGACTTTCTCCCACAACCAGAAGGGCCATCAGCGTTGGAGTTACCCATGGCGGCCTTCACGGGCCATTCTGCAGAGCCATGCTACACTCCACAGCCAGATCCAAACTATGAACTGAAGCTTCTCCTGGAGCAGTTTGTTCGGGACTCCGAGAGACGCAATCGCAGAATGGATCTTCACATCCAAGCCCTCCCCTCTTCCGATCCCTCATATCTCCGTGATATGGAGGAGGCTGTTCAACGCTCAGCGAAGCAAACAGAGTGGGTTGAGCAAGTTTGTGCACAACTTGCTCAAGATCACCCTTCTGCTACCATACAAGAAGAGGACGAGGAAGAAGAAGGCTACAAGGACATTGTGGAGCACACAGAAGTTGTCACGGAGAGCTCCCGTGATGATCATGATCAGGAATGTCCTGTCGTAGCCGACCACCCTTTCCCACATCCCACACTGCGCTTTGAAGAGGTGGGCATGAGTGAGGAGATGCAAGAAGATCTCATGAAAGAAATTGCCTGGCAACTTGCTCTCCAATCCGTGCTAGAAGAAGAAGAGCAAGAAAGGGTGCAGAAAGAGGTTGTGGAGGATGACGAAAGCGAAGCAGGAGTAGTTCTTGATCATTTCCCAGGGGTGATACCACATGAAGAAGAAAGGGAGGTTGAAGAAGCAATTGGCGTCCAGGCTGAGGACGAAGTTGAGGTGGAAGAGGCTTGCACCGGCCATGAGTTACATGTGATATCTCCACCAAACTTCGAGGGATTGCTCAGCAAGGACCCATTTGCAGTGTCTCTTTGCCAGACCAAGGCCACATCGACATCGGTCCCTCTTGGTGGACGCGATGGTGGCCAATCGATGCTGTCTTATCTGGTTTGGGGCAATGAGACGAGAGAAGAGAAGAAGAGGTCTCGAGGGTGGAGACTTCATCTGCATCAAGTACACGAGCCTTCATCACCTGCCACACCACATGCTCGTGACTTGAGACTCCACCTCATCGACGAGAACCTCAACTTCAAGGAGGTTCTAGCATGGACCGAAACTTAGGAGCCATCGTCCGGCTCACGACGTGAAAGAAGCGCTTGTTGGGAGGCAACCCAACCAGTCGGTTTGCATTTCTTTCTCTATTTATCCTCGGTTGAGTCAGTTTTGTTATTTGATGTTAGAGTCAATAACTCAACCTTTGTGAGATTTTGTGTGGTGTTTGTGTTCTGATTACTCTCTCTTCCTGGAATGCACCGCCTGCCCCGTCCATCATCATTCACCCTTGATCTGGTAACTTCGTTCTACCCTCCTTATCTTTCCTCCATTGAGGACAATGTCGTGCTTAAGTGTGGGGGGGGTGTTCGATTATGTATGCGGGTGAATGTTTGGCTGTTTGTGTGCTTGGAGCCTAGTCCACTGTCCAAATTTTAAATTTGAGGGCTCCAAGTACGTGTTTCCATGCAAATTGCCTGCTCAGTATGCTTTGAATTGACAGTCTCTATAGTAATGTGCAACCTAGGGAGGTAGTGTAGCACTATGGAGGATGTTGAAGTATAAGATTTTTCCTATCTAGCTCTCTGCTGTGTCAGTTGATTTTGTGAATTAGTGGAGCTAAGACCGTTGAATTCATGTGGTAATGTGGACTCTGTTTGAATTGTGTTATGGACTCGTGTATTGAACAGGGTGCTCATGTGGCAAATGAAAAGCAGTTGGTCCTCCATGTCGAAATCATCAAAAATCTTAAACATGGGGTAACCGCAACGTGTGTGGCACCGTTCATTGCACAAAATCGGGTTTTGGAAGAGATTTTAGTGATCCTTAGTGGGGTACTCCTACAAGGTGAAGCTAAGCTGTCTCTAGTACAAGTAAAACTTCCACCCGTTGAACGGTTTGCCTACTCGAGGATGTGTTTTTAAGGGCACGGATAGAGCTTCCGACCCCCCTTAATTTCATTGACCCTCCACACGAGTTGAGGAAAAGGAGTTAAAAGAAGTACTCTGGCGAGCGCCAGATGTACAGAAATTGCTCTTGCTCGACTAATAAGGGTCGACCGTGCAAAAGACTGCAGTTGGAACCCCCGCCAAGTGAATAAAAAGGAAAAAAAAAAGTAAGTAAAATGAAAGTGAAAAAGGGGTTCCAACGGTGAAATGAAGTGAAAGAGCACCCCGGTACAACGAGTCCTTGGTTGTGAATGGTGTGAGTCCCTTTATCCATGAACTGACTGTCTTACTTCTACTTTTTCTCATGATCCTGGCTTGAGTCTAGTACTCGCATTGAGAAAGATAGGGGACGTCTTAGAAGACCAGTTGACCTCGTAAGCTGCTTTATGATCTAGAAAGTCCTCTACCGACGATCTGGGGTGTTTGTTGCTATAGAGGTCTGGAGAGCTGCATTGGTTTGAGTTAGGTTTGCTTGGGGACAAGCAAACGGTTAAGTGTGGGGGAGTTTGATAGACCGATAATTGCACATGTTTTCACCCCTATTCTGAAGCCGTTTGTGATGTGAAATCTCGTGTTTTAAGCCGATTTCACGCTAGGTTGTGTGTTTATGTCATATTTCAGGACCCGGCGTTGGAATCGAGGCGGAGAAACGAGTTCTGGGTCGAAAGGAGCCGAGTTGGGACTAAGGGGGCTGCAGGAGGAAAATACCCGGTCGGTTGGCAAAATACCCGACCGGGTATTTATCGTTTTTGGCACCCGTGAGAAGCAGAAGGGGGCCCGGGCGATGGCCTTAAATCCCCGGTCGGGGATTTTGGTGGTAGACCGGGGATTTTCCCTGAGGACGAAACGGTGCGCTTCAATTATACCCGGTCGAGACCCAAAATACCCGACCGGGTATTTCGACCGGGTATCGCGAGGGCAGCTGATAAAAGCCGGTTTTGTGCGTTTTTGCAGGGGAGAGCTGGGTTTTGGATCCCAAACACCCAAGGGACGAACCCTAGAGAGAGAGAGCGACTTGGGAACATTCTTGGAGCTATTTTGGAGGATTTCTTCGCCATTGGAGCTCGGGAATCAAGCCCGGACTTGAAGACTGATCATCTGAAGATTCTTACTGCAGTCTCTCTCTTCTCTATGGAGTAACTTCCCTTCACTTAGGTTTTGAGGAACCCTAGCTATGTTTGTTTGATTGGATGATTGTATGAGTACTCTGACTTGATAATCTTGAGTTCATATTCAATCTATGCATGTTTTCACGATTCAATTCTGCTTTAGTCGAGATTATTGATTCTGCTTTGATCCTATGAAAGCGAATACCTGATTAGGTCAATAGAGCACCATAGATTGATAGTAGTGGATCGATTGCTTTAGTCGAGGGTTGATTCACTGCTTTGTATCGATTGAGAACCTCATTCGATAGAGGGAATCTAGTTCAGAACGCCTTGATCAGTTGTTCTAGAGAAGGATACGTCCCTCTAGGCAATTGACTCAAGAGGGCCTTGTTCCTTTAGTCGAGACTCAAGGTCTAGTCAAGGATTCTCCGCATTGTGAATGAAAGTGAAACACATTAGAGATCATCAATCGTTAATCTGGCTAGTGGCTAGGGGGAATCATACCTAAGTGAGTTCCCAACCTGTAATTAGATTAACTTTAACTGTAGTTTGCTAGAGTAGTTTTTAGTTCTTTCATCTTAATCTGTTTTGCTAGATAACGAACTGAAGCTGAGTAATAGTAACTCTAGAGACCCGTGGATTCGATATTTATTACTTGAGCCACTATATTGCAGTCCCTTTCATTGGTTACACTTGGCCATTGTTAGGAGTTGTGTTTTAGCGAGTCAACATACATGAGACAACTTCATCCTATAGCTTGGCATCATGTGAACTTTACAAAAAATAGCCGGTTTGTGGATATAACTCCATTGAAGTTCAAGATCCTAAGAAGCTAACCATATAACTTCACAAAAGTAAAGGCTGTCCTACATTTGCAAAGACTGTCATTGAGTGTACTTCACACAATGACAGATAGACAAAAAGAAAGGCCTCTTTGAAAACTGGACAACTACCTAATAGATTGCAACCTAGTAGACTTACTATACAACTACATACATAGTGGAAACACACCCTCATTCATCCTTGAGAAGATTAAGAACAAGGGTCAGCTTGTCCTCTTCCTTCTCCAACTCATAGAAGCACTTCAGGTCTCTTAGATTGTTAGAAAACTTCCTCACAACAATGATCATTTGATTGTAATGAAAGCACAAGTCACCATAAGTCAGCCTAGTTAATGGCACTCTACTTGAGGTAGGTGATGTAATGCAAGTCACCATCATTATAAGTCACCCACCCTCATTAATTACCTCGTCCAAGCTATTAAAAAATGTAGGTAAGCTCAACTAACCTTGAGAAACTTTTTCCCATACATCTTCAGGTGCATCTACATAGGAGTGCTGCTCGTTCCACCCGAAACCACTATGATGCTGCATCATCACAGTCGAATGATACCAGTGCTTCATCTTCTTCACTCTGGTCTTAACATTCCCCTTTGCCATCAAACCGCATCCGGGTACCAGCTTTTCCATCATCCTCTCGATCTCCTTAAACACACCATTCTTGCATATCCCTTCATCAATCTGGCCCTTCTCGGTTAGCTCCAGAAGGCATAGAAGAAATGGTTCATCGTGTCTGGAATCCCAAAAGGTGTAAGACCTAGGTAGTCTGGTAGTGCATTGACGTCATTCCTTCTTCTCGGAGCCATGCCCTCAATAATGATACCAACTTTACCATACATGATTCATCACTGTTTTCAAAAAAATAAAAGATCACACTTAACAGTAGCACCTACAAAGACCTAGGTAAAAAACGTCGAGAGGAACCACAATCATCACTGTTTCCAAAATATAGACAACATTTTGGCAAAAATACAACCATACATGATTCATCATCAATAACAGATGTTCGAATGATTTTCCAAAATGCTAAAAGTGCAACAACAACAACCATAACACATGATTACAATCACATCTGTGACCTATCATCCCACATTGCTACTGCTTTGTCATTCCTAAATTGGGTCCAAGCTGCACATGGATGCAAGCCAGAAGTCTCAATAATCTCGGCCTCAATTGCTTCATGTAGTTCTGGTTCTTCGTCTTCATAACATAGCTCACACGAATCAGCCCTGTGTTTCCTCTTTATAAAATTATTAATTATGTAACATGCAACAACAATACGAGTCATCTCTCTTGGAGTGAACCAAGACGACCCTCTAAGTATTGCCCAACACATTTTCATAATCCAAAAAATACGCTCAATGACATTTCTAGTCGAAGTATGCTTCATATTATAGTATTCCTCGACTGTTTCTGGTCGATTTGCACCCCATTGTTTTAGATGATACCGCTGACCACGATAGGGGGTTAAAAATCCCGGGCTATTTGCGTACCCAGCATCACATAGATAATAACAACCTTCAATACATGAACAATTTTAAATGTTATTAAGTGGTTCATTTAGGACTGTAATTTTGTATCTAACTGTTAAACTTAACTATAGTATTACTATTACCTGCTGCCACAGTAAGACCATTTTCCCTAGTAAGGGCATCACACAAAACTCATCCGTCATGGGCAGACCCCTCCCATCCAGATAAACAATAGATAAATTCCAAGTTGGGTTTGCAAACACTCAACACATTAATGGAAAGATCACACTTCCTATCGCGATACCTAGTTCGATCCTCTTTTAATGGCCGGACATCAATATGAGTTCCATCTAGAGCTCCAAGACATTTCTAACACAACATTGAAACAAGACTTTCAGGGGTTGATTGACAGAAACAAAACAAAAGATGGAATGTATTGGAGAAAGAAATCAGGGGCTGACCTTGAAATGTTTCCGCCTACTATTGGTAATTGTCGGGAATGGGAAGCGGCTTCTTCATAAGTAAGTTGTTGAGCCTAATAACAGCCCGCAGTACACGGTGAATTGTTCAAGAATTGTCTCTCTCGAATGACGTAAATTCAGGCGTAAGGTTTTATTTTTCTTGTTCTGTGAAATAGTTCGAAGAAAGATATAAACCATCTCGTCTATATCTACATTCCTGGTTCTTTTTAGCCCACCTTCACTAACAAGAAGTTCACAGAACTTCCTGAATAAACTACGATTCATCCTAACTTGGTCGAAAGTATCAATATCAGTCATTTTAGTTGCATTCCTAAGGTGCCTTTGTCTATCATAGTGTCTCTGCAAGTAGGTGTCCACTGGTTGCCTACTAAGTCGTCGATTCAGGTAATGTTTTTATACTAAGTCAGCTAGTTTGATACCTAAACTAACATAAATCATGAAAAGGTTGGAGAATGAGCAAATTGCTGCAACCACCTGCGTCTACGGGCTGGAGCTAAACTTGATAGTCGAGACATCCTTTATAAAATAGTTAAAAAAATGCATAATCAGTGGATAAAACAAGTACAACACACCAATTCCAGAAACCCATGTCGGTTATAAAAACAAAAAGACGGAAACAGTTTTGTTCAGCATGAAGTGTAAGCAGGCTAGAAAGTGACCATAACGAGCATTAGAAGCAAAGCAAGAAGTATAAATAGGCTAGACCCAAAGCAATGCCAAGCAGTAGCATGGAAGGATACACTTAGCATTCTCATAAGTGTCCAAATCAGTAGAAAACCAATGATTTATGTTGGAATCAATTGATAAACCCAATTAGGGTTGGACTTTGTCTGCATCAGTAAGGAAAAAAGAAGGAAAGATTTGTGGTTGACCCCCTTATATTCCCAGGTACACAAACTAAAGGTTTCATCATCAATTTCTTTATTAAGGTTTACGATTGGGTTTTTTTGGAATTCTAATAATGACAAAGTGAATAAGGGTAAAGATAATTAAGGTACCAGGCTCACTCTTTGATGAGTAGAATCTCTAGTTCCTCCTCCAACTGATCCAGAAACCGCAAGAAGATCGTTACGGGAACAGTAGCTTACTCCTTCTTCCTTTGGCAATAACAAGATACGATGAAGAGATAAAATGACAGCAAAGAAAGAGAGCCTGAAAAGATAAAGAGTGAATAAAGGGCACACTTGGGTTTACAGTTAAAAGGTAGGGACAACTTTGGAAATAAAAAGCACACAACGGGACAGTATGAAATCCACCCCCTCCCCACACCAGGTAATTACAATTACCCCATAACGCACCAACACTGATTGTCCCGGCCCCAAATTGCTTCATTCCTCTTCTTGTATGCCAAACGGGTCAATTAGGCCCAATTGACTCATAATGAGACAATTTGGTACAATTGATCCATCACAATATTCCATCCATATGACCCCATAAGACTTTCTTACAAATTACAATCCATCACGATTTATTAAAAGTGCCTCGCTCACCGTCCGTCAATTCCTTCTCGATCCATGTTAGGGATGACGACATAATCTGAACCCGTAGGTACCCTACCTGACCCAATATAGTCAACGCGGATAAAACTCTTATTTACGAATGTGTTTGGTTTGGGTTTAAAGTTTAAACCCGTTTACTATTTTGCGAGTTGGGTTCGGTTTAGCAGAGGCGGATCCAGGATTTTGTAGAGCACTAGGTCATATTTGAATAGACAATTACATATGGTTAATGAATTTTGCGCAAATTTGAGAGTATATAATATGGTACCTCATTCTTAAAAGAATGCATCTCATTTTCTTCAACAAGTTTGTCTATAATTAGAACTCTTCAAATAAGTTTGTCATTATCTTCAAATATGCAAAATCAAATAGCACAGTAATTGTATAAAAGTATCTAATTCACTTCCTAATTCTAATGGTTCATTCCTTGTCATCTCTTATTCTCAAAATTAGGTCACTTGTCCATAGCATTTCTCCAAATAAAGAACCTCTACTTCTCCATTTCTATTTACAAACTCCCTATATTCTAAAGGCTCCGTTTCATTCTACTCGGCACATTTACTACCGACGCACTACTAGACTCGTGCACTAATAGCCCACGTAACCCCTACTACTCCTAATTGACCCATCACAAACCCCTATCCATGAAACGTTTTAAACAAATAAAGAAGCTAATACTAGCAATAATCCCCCCGATCCAAACCACATATGCATCAAACATTACAGTTTTGATGATGAACTGTAACTTACGGTTCCAGAGTTTTACTTGTAAGTCACAAGTGAGAGGCCAAAATTAATATAAAAACCCTTTTGTTTTTATTGATTGATTCCCAAGACTAATGCCGCAAATACATTTATATAATATGTAATCGTACCTATTAGCCTAACTATAGCCGAACCCTTCACTTCTCCCTGGCTAACTTGGCAACCTAGCACTACTAATATTCTAATTAAGCTCATGCACTAATAATCCAAAACCCACATACATAAGCCCAACTAGGAATGGCAATGGGGCAGGTCTGGGCCGAGTATCTCGATACCCATACCCGCCCCATGGCAGGTCGGGTCCAGGTCAGCTAATTTATCATGGGGCACGGGTCAGGGCAGGTCGACCCAATGTATATATAATTTATGTGAAAAACATAAGAAATATTCGTTATTTTAATTAAAAGACCAAGAAAGAAACCATATTATGATAAAAATATAGTTAAATTATTTGAGAAATTGTGGGTTTTACTTATTTACAACTTTATTATAGCTATTATATGAGGTAATAAGAGGAAAATTCTAAGTGATTTTACCAAGATTACATGTAATTTAGGCAAGAACGGGTCGAGAATGGGCGGGTCAGGGCAGTTCAGGTCGACGAGAGGTACTCATGCCCGCCCCACCCCGCCTACGGGGCGAGTCGGACCGACCCCAAAACAGGCCAAACAGGTCAGGTAAAACGGCTCAGATCGAAATTGCCATCCCTAAGCCCAACATTTACCCATTACCCACTTCACGATACAACTAGCTATCTTGGAGTCCATAGCTCCATCATTTGGCGTTTGGGAGGCGGACGAGAGGGCTGGGCCAACATGATTAGCAGTGGGCCAAAAAATGTGGAGGGGCTCAATATAACCTCTAGATCCAAAGGAGGGCTGGGCCCTGGCCCAGGTTGGCCCAACTATGGATCCGCCACTGGGGTTTAGCTATATCCAACCCGTACTCATCTCCAACCACGAATCCCTTATCCACTTTTCATTTGGCATTCCCCATACTAATCTTACTTATATTCGTGGAGACATGTCTAATTTGTTTTTCCTAATTGTGTAGAATGGAGTTGATATTATGGGGGTGGAGAGTGAAGAAGCTTAGTTGATAATGAGAAAGAAACTTTCAATTAATCATGTTATTTCCTTGTATGCTTTAGATTGATGTTTTTTTTAGATAATTTGTACACGAAAAATAATATTGAACATTTATTCTGGTAACAAATATTTGTTTATCTTATAGCCCGACCCGGTCCGGCCCATTGCGATACCTAATCCAAGTTAAAACTTCAAACCATAAAGGAGTCCAGCTTAAGCCGTATGACTGCCCGTAGCGAATCACTCCGTTTGCTTTCCATGACCTAACTTGTTTTCGGCGCGATCTCCATCTCTCAAAGCCTTTCTGTGAACAATTGCCATAAATCCCACTCTTCTAACACTTCTTCCTAGCTTGCCTCGAGGTCAGTAGCTCTTCCTTCGTTTAGTCTAGGGTTTCATCTTTCAGCTTCTATTCTAATCCGTTGATATTCTGTTTGTTTCCCGGGAAATCTGAACTCATCGGGTTGTAGCAAATAGTCCGGCTTCGCTTTTTTGTGTTCCAAATGGGATGAACGAAGCTTTCAATTGAATAGCGCAGGGTTTCAGTTTTCTGCACAGTACTTAGTTTGCTTTGTCTCTGTCTTTTCAGATTTCGGTTTTGGGTGCCGGTGTAAATCTATATCCATTTCGCAATGGCGGTGAGTTGGGTTCTGGGAACGGTTCTTCTGCTCTTGTTTTCTGCTTCGTCATTTCCTAACTTTTGTGAACGATCTGGTTATGCTGTGTGTGCTGTAGATAGAAAGGATTCTTAAAGACGATGCTAGTGAAGAGAAAGGAGAGCGTGCCAGAATGGTGAATTTTCCTCTGAACTTAGTTTAATTGAAGTAGCTGGATAACCTGATCTGTTATACGAAAGCGATTTAACGCTGTGTTTTCTTTCTTAGGCATCTTTTGTTGGTGCTATGGCCATTGCTGATCTTGTCAAGACAACACTGGGTCCTAAGGGGATGGTAGGCTTTATTTTCCGAGATTCTGGAGTGTGGGCTTGTACTGGGTCTATGTTTGTAACTAACTATCTTGAGCTTTCTCGTTGTTTCCCTTCCCAGGACAAGATCCTGCAGTCTACTGGAAGAGGTCAATCAGTGACTGTGACCAATGATGGAGCTACCATCTTGAAGTCTCTTCACATTGACAACCCCGCAGCCAAAGTTCTTGTTGGTATCCTTACTAATGTTGTTTCATTCACCTGCTGTGGCAAATCTCATTTTGTTTGGGTTCGCATTGTCCTATCTGTTTTCGTTTTAATGGTGTTGGTATAATGAGGTTCAGTTGCAGTTAATCAATTGTTTTTGCCACACTACTGTTGTGGTAGAAATGATTGGAGCATGGTGAAAAGTATACATCTTGATGATGATCCTTAACTCTACATAGACATTTCAAAAGTTCAAGATGATGAAGTTGGGGATGGGACAACTTCTGTAGTTGTTTTGGCTGGTGAACTATTGAGGGAGGCTGAAAAACTAGTTGCATCAAAGATCCACCCAATGACCATTATAGAAGGTTTGCTTCGGGCATTTCACCATTGCATTTGGGTTCTCTCCTCAGTTCATTTGAGTGATGTCAACCTTGGTTACTACAGTTCAAAGAATAATGTTTGGCTCAGCTTTACTCTCTCATGGTATCTGGAATTTCCCTATTTCCCTATTGATATAAATAATCTATGGTTATCGTCACCGAAGTGCTATCAGACAACTGCATTGTTTAACACTTCGTGTGGTTGCAATCTGTTTACTAAAACCCATTTTATAAAATATTTAGCTCGATTTTACTCTCTTTTCATTGTGTGGAATCATGTCCACGTTTCTGTACACATTTGCATCTGAATTTTTGGCCATAGACACCATTTCACTGCCAGACTTGTGCTTATTGTGATGACGAATATCAACGAGAAATTGTTATATGTTTTAATTTCAGGGTTTCGAATGGCAGCAAAGTGTGCTCGAGAGGCTCTGCTGAAAAGGGTTGTGGATAATAAAACAAATGAAGGTACTTGTTATGATTTTTTGTGGTCCAGGGTTTTGACTTCCAACTGCTCTTTGTTAATGCTGGTCCTTTTCTGGGACTTGCGATTTTGTTCTAAAGCTAAGCGTCATGCCTTAATGTCGTTGTACTTGCATATTTGTCTAACTAGCTCAAATGATCAAATTGCAGAGAAGTTCAAGATGGACTTGATGAAGATTGCAAAGACAACTTTGAGTTCAAAAATATTATCACAAGATAAGGAACATTTTGCCAAGTTGGCTGTTGATGCTGTTTTGAGGCTAAAGGTGAAGGGTTTATTGAGTTATGAATTTATGTTCTTCTTGAAATGAGTCTGTCCCTGTCAACGTTTCATTTAAGTTTAGGTGTTTGTTGAGAACCAAGAATTCTTATATCTTCTGTGCATAGATGATATAATCTTGGGTCTGACTCTGACATGCCAGTGACTGACGGCTGGGTTCCAGATATTGGTCTCATGTGTGGACTTTAGTAGTAGATAGAACAATGTGCAAGGGGGTTGTCTATAGACTTGTTGATTGGATGCCTCACATTGTTTGAGGTTTTGGATTGTTCGGGCAAACTCTGTTGATCCTGCCTCCTATTCCTACTGAGTTGTTTTGTTTATACTTGGTTACAGGGCAGCACAAACTTAGAATCCATCCAAATTATCAAGAAGCCTGGTGGTTCCCTTAAGGATTCATTCTTGGATGAAGGGTGGGTATATGTGAACGTATTCACCTTTGTGGCTTCTTAGTAGCATGCTGCCTCCATGTTTTCCCAACAGTCTTCACTAAATCAGTGTCTGTCACTGTTCAGGTTTATTCTTGACAAGAAAATCGGAATTGGACAACCAAAGCGGATTGAAAATGCCAATATTTTGGTGGCCAACACTGCAATGGACACGGATAAAGTAAAGATCTATGGTGCACGTGTTCGTGTTGATTCAATGGCTAAGGTTGCTGATATTGAAGCAGCTGAAAAGCAGAAGATGAGAGAAAAGGTGGACAAGATCCTAGCCCATGGGATTAATTGCTTTGTTAACCGGCAGTTGATTTACAATTTCCCCGAAGAACTCTTTGCAAATGCTGGAGTACTCGCAATTGAGCATGCTGATTTCGATGGGATTGAACGGCTAGCTTTAGTTACAGGTGGTGAAATTGCCTCAACTTTTGACAATCCTGAGTCTGTTAAGCTTGGACACTGTAAGCTTATTGAGGAAATTATGATTGGAGAGGACAAGCTAATTAAATTCTCTGGCGTTGAGATGGGCCAGGCATGCACTGTTGTACTGCGGGGTGCAAGGTAATCCTTTAGTATTTGTTTCATCTAGTATTCCTAGTTTATTCAGGACCTTTGGTGATTTATGCTCTTTCTTGAGTTTTGCCTTTAAACTAGAGCTCAATCCTTTGTTTCTGAATTCATTGTTAATTTGGTGTTCATGCAAACATGTAATGCCTAGTGAGAGAAATATGCTTTTTTTACCTTGTGCAGTCATCATGTGCTCGATGAGGCAGAGAGGTCACTACACGACGCCCTCTGTGTGTTATCACAGACCGTGAATGATAGCCGGGTTTTGTTTGGAGGCGGATGGCCAGAAATGGTGATGGCTAAGGCAGTAGATGAGCTTGCTCGAACGACCCCGGGGAAGAGGTCTCATGCCATTGAGGCTTTCTCCAAGGCTCTAGTGGCTATTCCAACCACCATTGCAGATAATGCTGGTTTAGACAGTGCTGAGCTAGTAGCCCGGCTTAGAGCAGAGCACAACAAGGAGGAATCTAATGCTGGGATCGATGTCATCTCTGGATCTGTAAGTAGTATGGAATCACAATTGTTGAACTCCTTTCATTTCTTAGCTGGACCATTAGTTGAACGTGGGAAACCTCAGACTCATCTTACTGTTATGCCTTACTCAGTCTCTTAGCTTCCCCAAGTCCTACATGTTTGAGGTTTTGATTTAGTAAACGAGCTTTTTTATATTAAGTTTCACCATTTGACCTTGCCCTCGTAATCGAATGCCTTGCAGGTAGGAGATATGTCAGAACTAGGGATTTCAGAGGCATTCAAGGTTAAGCAAGCGGTACTGCTTTCTGCAACTGAGGCTGCTGAAATGATCCTCAGGGTAGATGAGATCATCACTTGCGCGCCACGAAGGAGAGAGGATAGAATGTAAAACATGATTGGGCCTGTTGTTTCTCTCTGGAGGAATGGGGCTCTTGCCATTTTGGCCAATCAATCTTATGCACTGAATTGTTGTTTAACCGTCAGATTGTTGAACTGATCACTTCCCCAATCCTCCCCCAGTTTTTCGTGATGTTGGTATCTGTTGCGGTATGGAACTCCTGTTTTTGTATTGATCGAATTCTAAATTCGTGTATTGACATGTGGACAGTCTCGTGTCTACATAATTTTGGTCTTCGAAAGTAGCTGCGATCATTCTTACGATTTAATGTCAGCTCATAGTTGTTTCTATTAGTTAGGAATTTGCTGTAGTTACAGTAACTGCGATAGTCTGATGGTAGAGGACTCTTCAAGTTAGGGTGGGAAAATTTTCACATTTATTAAATGAAAGCTTTAGTAACATTAGGAGGCTCTGTCAGCCTTTTTGCCGTTATTTAATAACTTCTCCAGGATAGACATCCTTCTTGCCTGGTGTTGGCCATCTTATCCTTCAATTCTACCTTACATTTTGTGATTAGCGAGTTCGATCACAACCATTCCATGAAACTCACATTGTGATTTGTAACTACTCGCGATTTTGTAAAATTATTTATAGCGAAGATGATTATTCAATGAGAATTAGAAACTAGTCCAAAGGAATCTGATTTTGAATAGGCATCTATTATATGCAATAATCATCGTATAGTCGATGTTCATATGGTACAATACTTGAGCAAATAATTAGATATATAACAAGTTGCACTTCACCTAACAAAATGCAACAAGTTATAGAACCATTACTTCGTCGGTGGGTACCATTGCCATAAATGTTCTGATACCAGAGCATTTAATCACCTCCTCCCACATAAACTATAGCCGTGGAAAATACCCTTAGATCCTTATCTTACAACGTGAGCCAAAAAAAAAAAAAACCACATTCCAATGGAATCAACCGACGGAGAGAGCTCGGATCGTGATACCGCTCTCATTTATGTTTCTACTCGGTCCATGTTGCGTTTACCATCTTTGCCATGAACCCATACCGATCCGCCGCTTCATCAATCTGCCAACGGTTGCCAGCAAGACAATAATGAGTCAAGCAAGCGCCGGTTGATCAGCAAAAAGATATCAGAATCGAAGAGACCATAGATTTCCCGTACCATTTTCTGAGTCGGACGGCCGGCGCCATGGCCGGACTTCCGGTCAATCCGGCCGATGATCGGGTTGGTTTGTGGGCTGTTCTCCAAGCTGGTACACAGAACATACTGCAACGTCTGCGAAAAGAGAGGCACAAGTAATCGGAGATCATGATCAAGTTCGGATCAGGTATCAGGAATCTTTCTTGTACGAGGATTGACGAGAGATCATCAACTCACCGCCAGCAGCTTCAGAGAGTGATGTGGAACGACCCGATCGTCGTGATCAGCAGTCAGCAACATGGTCGGAGGGTACTGAACATCGGGGCTCACTTCCCATGGTCTCCTCACATTGTGCAGTGGAGAGTATCTGCAGAAATGGAAAATTTGAATCTAAGTATACAATCCAGGTATGAAGATCAGATTGGTATTCTGTTCATTTGTTCTTTAGGACTGGCATAGTCTGATTCGGTCCAGAATCAAGCCGAATCGGTATATAATCATCCTATCTAATGTAAAGAATCATTAAGGACTATAACTGGATCAAATGCAAACCCAGAACATCTTTTCCTTTGGTTCTAGTATAGAATCTAGATCAAATTATACTTCAATCCAGTCTGATACGGTCAGATTCAGTTTAGTACGGATTAAATTGTTGCCCTTGGTTTGGTTGGTTGAGTTGCACTTACTTGATCAGCCAATGGAACTCTTCCTCCTTTTCTGAACAGCCATAATCACTAGTCCAAGCGTGGCCTGTAGAAAAACGAAGTGTTCTAGCAACATAAATGAAGCTAGTGATTTCTAGTTGCTACCATGAGATAAAGATTCTTACCTATTGTGAACTTATGAAATCGTAGCATGTCCATGACACCAACATGAGCCAGCGCACAGCCAAACAAATCCGGCCTCTGATAACCGAAAATAAGGAAGTCTCAAATCAGCCTTCGCTTGAATTGATATAACTTGGTGCGGCACCAAACTAACTAATTCGTACCTGATTTATGCAGGCTCCGACGAGGAGACCACCGTTGCTCGCGCCTTCAATGCATAGCTTCTTCGCCTGGGTATAGCCTTCTGACACAAGATACTCACCGGCAGAGATGAAGTCGTCGAAGACATTCTGCTTCTTGCCGAGCGACCCTGCTTTGTGCCATTCCTCGCCATACTCTCCACCTCCGCGGATGTTGGCCATGCAGAAGACAGCACCCAAATGTTTCGCGAGTGTCACCCGAGTAACGCTGAAGGATGGAGTGATGCTGATGTTGAATCCACCGTATCCGTATAGCAAGCATGGGTTCGATCCGTCCAGTTTTGTGTCCTTCTTCGACCCAATGAAGATTGGGAACTTGTTGCCGTCCTTACTATTCACGAAAACCTGAGCAGCAGCAGGTGAGCAACACACGTTATATCTCAATTTCGCAGCAACATATATCTCTATTTTGAAGCCTTTCAATTTCACTGCAGCTATTGTTTAATGTGTGCAGAAATCTAATCAAATCCATCCAAGCTGAAAGAATTAGAGGAAAAGAACTCACTTGCTTCACTTGGAACTCTGAGCGATCGAATCCAGGTACAATGGTTTCCCGAAATACCTTCAATTCTGGATCTCCAGATCCAAAATCACATTGGTAGATAATTCCAGGGGAAAGAAAGCTTGTAAATCCTATAAAAGCTACATTGTCCTGTCTCCTTGCAGATACCCCAGTCACGGTACCTATATCAATAGGCAGCTGATGCAGAAATGAACCCGTTCTTAGGTCCCTGATCTCCAATACATTCTTGACATCACTCAGGTAACTCAGTATCAATTTGTCTCCATTGACCACATCTGCTGACTCCAATACATCCTTTTCGGATTCCGGGACAACATCTGTCCATGAACTCGGGTCATTCAAATCCACCCGGACTAGCTTATACCTAGGAGCATCCTTGTTGGTCAGGAAAGTGAATGAGGTGCCATCGTTTGCTATCGCTTCGTACTTAGCATCGAAGTTATCCACAAGCTTAGTGAAAGGGAGAAGTTTGTTTGATCCCCTGAAACTCTGTAGTCCTCCAGGAAGTGTAGAAATATCGCAGTAGTATATTTTGTTGACTGGATCACACCCCTCGCTTATATATAGGAGAAGATGCTGCAAGAACATTAAACAACTAAGACATCAGTCATTCCGAGTGAACTATAAACAGAGTTGCGACGGGCTGAATACCTATTTGGTCACCAATATCACCTGTGTGAATGGGGTCATGTCCAGTTAAAAACTGGTTGTGCCACTATGTCTATCACAGTAAGGCATTGAACTTCGCGTTGAGATAATTATAACATTGAACTTGTCCTAATAAATCATCAAAAGCATTTTTTGTTGCCTTCGTTGATCTTTGACATCATGTTGCTGAGGTGACAGCTTTTAGTGCTAATAGAGGTAAACGGAGAAATGAAAATGCTAATGATAACAATTGGATTGGTGTTGGTGTTGGTGTTTCACATATGCGAGTTGGGTGGCCAAATTGATGTTTGACCCTGGTCATATCCTGTCCGGAGCACTCAGCAGAAAGAAAATATACCTTCCCATCGTCTGCCACTGTCGCACCCATGATTTGCTTGGGATTTTCTTGATCTCTCCAACACAGTATGTCCTCAGATTGATCTGTACCCAAGAAATGGTAACATGATTCTTGATACAGATTGATATCAGTCTCAGTCCCAGCATCCAACTTCTCTCCATCTCTGCAGAACAAACGTAGAGCATCAGTTCATAGCCATACTCTGAATAACACCACCCTTTCATGTAATCCTTTTGAAAATGAAGAAAATTCCTTTGTTCCTTTCATCTCCCAAACCAATCCAGATGTTTGGAGTCTAGATGTTAAACTTGAATACAGTTTGGATGCCCTTTTCAATACACTAGCATACAACGGAACTAAAGGCTAGATATCCATCCTTCAGTCGATTTAGGTTCCGAAACTAGTTTCAAAACTAAGATAGAGTTGAATGTCCTTTTTAATACACTGGCATTACGAAACACTGCCTGGTTAGAATTTCGCATTTCCCTGAATCAGCTGAACTATTGAAATATCATACAAAACCAGAACCGTTCAACAAACAAGGAAGGATACAACGGGTGTGAGAGTTTGAACATACTTGGGAGCAGGGTAACGGCTATAGAAGAACCCTTTGCTGTCATGTGTCCAACTGATCCCGGTAAATTTTGCCTGAGAAACAGAACAAGCAAGCTCAAAACCCATATAACCATTGAGAACAGACTTTCAAAAGATAGACAGCCATCGACAGTAAGTCGTCTCACCCATGATATTGTGTCCTGCTCAACTCTCTTATCCGCAATTCGCATGACCTTGATGGTTATCCAATCGCTCCCACTCGAGTTAAGCCCGTAGGCCAAGTACTTCCCATCCTCACTCACTTTTAGCGTCCCTAGCGACACCGTGCCATCCTCGCTCAACGTATTCGGGTCAAGCAACACCTCTGGCTTGCCTTCCAAGCCATCCTGTTTCGATCATTCGAAACAAAGCTTAGAAATCATACCGCCGTTCTCCCTATCCATATTATAGTTCCATCCTCCTCCCTCTCTCTAATAGTTACCTGAACGTAGAGGACGCTCTGGGCCTGAAGGCCGGTGTTGTGGAAGTAGAAGTACTTGTCCCCACGCTTGGACGGCGCTTCGTAGCGCGGATGGTCGAACAGCTTCGTAATCTTCTCCTTGAGCTTCTCCCTCAACTCGCAAGTCCTCAGCACCGAATCAGTCAGCTTCACCTGCTCTTCCACGAAAGCCTTGGTCTCCTCCGAATCAGGATCCTCCAGCCTACCAAAACAAAACACACGCAAACAAGTATTTTCCTTCTCAGCAGCTTTTCCACAAACAGGTAGAATGCAACCGGGAGACGAGAAAAGAAAGCACGAGAAAGCCTCCACTCATTACCATCGGTAAGGATCGGAGACCTTGACGCCGTGGTAATCCTCGACGACGGACTCGTCCCTGCGTGCTGGAGGATACGGCAATTGTACTCCTCCGGAACCGTCGGGAGCGGAGAGCGAGCCCATTGTTGATGGCGGTGACGTTTGGAGGGGAGAAGCAGAGAGAGAGGAGAATGGACGGGGAGAGTGGGGAGAAGGTTTTTGGTTGTTGGTTGGAGGGATTAGGAAGGAGGGAGAGTTTGAATATAAGGAGACTTGTTGGGAGGAGAGACGGAGACGGAGACGGAGACGGAGAGCGAACCGTAGCGGCCGTGAAAACGAAAGAGGCTTGGTGGCGGGGGATGGAAGGGGGGAAAAAATAGAAGGGGTGCAGCAGTG